ATGCTTATGGCAAACACATAGGTGAAGCTCCTTTGAAGCGCGTTCGAATTATGCTAATTAGGCTTCAACCGTACTCCTTTAAAGTATCTTTGGAGTACCCCTTGAGAAGTACATTTGAAGCCCATAAAGAAGTACAGATGAAGTCTCAGTTAGGAAGCATACCTGAAGCTTCTCTTTGAAGCACACATGAAGCATATTGATGAAGTACAAATTAAGTCCCAGTGAAAAAAGTACTATTGAAGCCCCACTACAAAACTTAAAAGCTCCAAAATCAGTTAACATTTTTAGATTTCTCTTGAATCTTTAAACTTAATGGATTAATTACAATTAAGGTTTTACAGATATCAGGAAATCACAAAATCTCACCTGAGCATTTTTTGTTCAGGTGAGAATTACAGTATCAACTTTCAACTGATAAACAATAATAATTCATTAAATGTTACATCAAAGAAATTTATTCAGTCATTTCACCCTCATTAACAAATACGGTTTCATGCATAAAGGTATAACACTATAAAACATCTTATGAGCGTAACATCAATTAAATTTCAATTTATACATGTCCTTCACTTTCAGTCTTTTCCAAACAGATTCACTGGCATATTATGCTGGTTTGCAGATTTTATATGATGGGAATACCTATTCTGCATCCTGAAAAAAAATATTTAAAATGATTTTTTATTATGTATATATGCACATATGTTCTAGATTGGTAATCATGCAGCTTTAAAAAAAAACATAACACAAAAACAAATTATCTGGAAAAAAAGTTTGCAAATGTATTAAAATTAAATTTTTCAACTTAAACAAGTACAAAAATTGCCAGGAAAACAACTCACAGTGTATTTTGTTACTTTTGGGGTCATAATCATCTAAGGATAGCCCTGGGTCAGATAATGAGTGGCAATGCTTAATTATTCACTTACTTAATGGTTAAATATTCATTCTTTGATATACTACATCAAATTCTTCAAATGCCAGTTTCAAATTTTTGTATCACAATTCTCACCAGTGAAAGCTTTAGGTGCATAAAGCAATAGACATTAAACATGATAAAATCAACTAGGTATCTTATATTTGTGAGTAAATCTAAATTTATTCAAGTCATAATAAGCCTATTTGAATAAAGCAAACTTAAATTACCAAGTAAGTTCTGTATTCTTTTGTATCCTTTCCTTCTTTCATTTTCAAACTTCTCACTGTATTTTGGAGAATTTGCATGGTCTAGAAAATAGATATACACATCTATATAATTATTATAATACAATATACATGTATAAAGGTAATGTTATTAAATGTTAAGCCAGTCATATGTTCTTTTTATATGGAATGCATTTAGATATAAATATACAAAAGGAATAGGACATAATTTCAAAATTTCCTGCCATACAATTGTATCATAAGACTATAAAAATTTAAATATTTGAATCTGATCTTATCATTTTAGAGCTTATAACTTGATATTTTTTAAGGAAAACCAAATCTTGAAAAAGTTCATTTTGCATTTAGTTAATTTTATTGTATATTGAATTTCAAATATTAATATAGTTCAAATTACTTACCAAAAATTTATTCCATAGAATTGCTTATCAATTTGCCTCCATTTTCAACAGGAACTTTAAGTACACATTTGCTGTCCCATTATACATGTTAATATAGTTTCAGAAAATTGTTGTAAACCTGTATTAGTTGGAATCATTTCAACTAAATAACAATAATCACATTTAACTTTATACTAGCTCATGCACTCATAATAACATATCTTAAAACTTGTAAGCAGATCCAGACATTCAAACACTTCTGTATAAATGACCAGGATGAAGATTTGTTCTGGGTATTAGGTTACATGTAGCTAGAGTATTGTAAACTTGATTTACCACTCACTATTCTCATGTATCAGATAGGTCAGCTTAACATGGGATATTTGAAAACTGTTGGAAGGGGTCATAATTTCCACTTGAGGGATAACAGATGTTTGTGATAAGAATATTTGTGTGGTAGATTTACAGCAGGGTGCAGAATAATTGCACTCATTTAATTGAAAACTTTGAGCATCTTTGAACTATGTTAATATTCATGAAGAAAATATTTTTTTTAATTCTTCCTTTTTATGTTAAGCAGATATTGATGATACCTGTTAATTACAATATATTTAGGTGATTCATATGCAATAATAATTTTTAGGAAGTAGTTTTTAATGTCAAAACTGGCTCTGAATTGGTATAATTGACTACATAATGAATCATATATTTTTGATGGAATTTAATAAATATATTTTTCACCACCATGATCTGTAGAATGTTAGATCCTTCATAATATCAAACTAAAATATTGATTTTACTCAGTTATTTTCTTTTATATACATGCATTTTCATTGACTTTATGAATTAATTTCCAAGCTGATAATCATATCAGGGAACTACAAAAATACAAGTTTTAAAAGCATTTTTGAAGCCCCCTCAAAACAAGTCCTGCATTGCTAAGTTTCAAAAGCACAACTTAAGTACACATTTTGTATCAAAATAACTTTCAAACAAACAGTCAAAGTCTGAGAAGTAGCAAATAAGTCTCTAGTACAAAATACTATCAAAAAGCACTTAAAAAGCCCTGGTGCTTCAACTGAAGCACACATTCACAAATTCAGAAGCTCATTAGAAGCAGGATGGGGCTTCAGATGAAGTACAGCTGCAGTTGAAGCAAGTACACTTGAAGTCCCTAGTACTTCAGTTGAAGCGCAGGTGCTAGTTATAAAAGTTCTATTGAAGTCCAAAAAAAGCATATTAAAAGTAGGGGACTCTTGTGAAGTGGGGGGCTGCTTTTGTGGCTGGGTGGTGTGTGCGGGATGTCTGATCTATAATCAGACACACATATGCCCAACATTTGTAATTGACTATGCACATGTCACAAAAATTAACAACTTCCTTCTTTCCTGTATATTTTAATGTGTTTCATACCTATTCGCCACTATTAGTGACTCGGAGACATTTATTAAGTTAAAAGGCCAATTAATAAGTTCCAAGTCATTAGATAAAGACCTTCGCAATCGCAGTACCTGGGCAGGTGCTTAACAACTGGATGACAGCATTATATGTTTTGATAAGGGAGTACACTATGACCACTATTGCATGAAACTTACATGTATATATTCCATCCCAGCTCATCAACATATATTTGGGGGTAGGTGCAGCCTTAATAAGCCAAGGCCCGAATCCGCCACTGTATGTTTAACTGCCCCATTGAATAGTCTGTTTACGAGCATATTTTTCTATTAGACTGTATACATATATAAAATTATATTGCATAATCCTTACTACTTGTATTTATATTATTTCCACTGCAATTTATGTATTAAGCGCTTGGTACGTATTTATAGCATTGTCGACTTCTGTATTTTAACGTATAACCTCGATGGCCCTAACAGTATTCTGTAATCTATACATGTACGGAAAATTCCGATGATAGGCGAATCATGGAGAAAATCCGTTGATATCGATAACAGAGTTCTCGCCCCTTAACAGTTCACAAATCGCTAGACATTGTTTAAATTGTTTATCATAATGTAAGATGATCAAACATAATCCACAAAGCTTCAGACACCGAGCTTTATTAAGCATAAACACTAAATAATGGATATAAGCGAAAGCTAATAGTATTCACGCCATGCAAGCTGTAAATCAAGTAAGTCACATTTTAACAAAATCCATCACGGAACAAAAAACAGTCAATTTTAAATGACTTCTACATAAAAGTAATACAAAAACAAAACTAAACAGTAAATAGTTTGTATAGAGCATGAAGAAAGGTAGCTTATACATAAAGGTATAAGACGTTAACATTTTAGTATTCCAAATGGCTTGTTCCAGTTTAATAGTTATCACTCAATGAAAGAATTGGTCACTACGAAATGTTTGAATGAAAGAATGAAAAATGGAATCCAGAATAATGCAACGTTTAAATATCACAAAGCAAGATGGAATCAATCATAATGCAAGTTCTAATGTCATGTAGCAAGATGGAATTAAGCATAATGCAAGTTCCAATGTCATCAAGCAAGATGGAATCAAGCATAATGCAAGTTCCAATGTCATCAAGCAAGATAAAATAAATGCATTAATTCTGTTCCATATACGTCTTTGATTTACTTAGGGTGCCTGTACATTTGTTATCTCTTGTTCCATTAAATTTTCCTAGTGCATTTGGGTATTTAAAATTAATATGATATATAGCATACCAGTAGAGACATTTTATTTATAATTTATACATTTAATCAGAAAAGCTGCTGCTTATTTTATTCTTCCACAGTACAGATGCAATTCATTTTTTTAATTTGTTTGGATTTTTTGTTGTCTTTAGACTTTTTTTTTGGGGGGGGGGGGTATATTACATTATAACTAGACATTTTTTCCATGTTAAATATAATCAATTTAGACTTGAGAATCTACACAAAATTACCTCGTATACAGTAATTTTTGTAACATAAAAATGATTCATGTAGTCAAATGATACTAGAAAAAATTATTTGACTCATGAAAATTTTGGCCAAAGAGTCCTTGACTCGTGAAATTCTGACCCTACTGAGAGCCCTGTATACAGGCTATTTTTCCCCTATCCCATGGGTCCATATATATCTTTTTGTATTTGGTGTGGAGGTTCTGGACATTTTAATTTTGGACAGCTTTTAATATCTGATCAGTTTCAATAAGATTTATTTAGCTTTGTTAAAAAAAATTAATATCTTGAGTGCTGGCAATAAATTTACTTTTGCCAAATTATAAATTTCACAATTATTTTTTAGAAAATTTAGTCACAAAATTTAATTTATCCCAAAATTTGCTATGTGGCATTTTCCAAAAACATCGGAAAAATGCCTGATATTAATTCTTGATTGCATCCTATATTTAGTTGAGTATGAAAACAAATTTCAACAAAAAAATTTGTATTGCTTAACACTGTATATTTATGCATAGAACAATATTGAACTTGTGTTTTCTATTTGATAGGTTCGTCAGTATAGGAATGATATTTTTCACTCAAGCAGTATGGAATTAGAAGAAAGTGAGGCAAATTCTTATATTGACGATATGATTAAAGTTTTACAAGATGGTAAGGAGCTATTACAACGATCAGATGCCCAGATAGCCGTGAAGAAACTTGAAGATGTAAGTTAAATAATGAATTATGTCAGTTTGAAATCTTTATGGAGTTAACTTATAATGATTTAAGATGACAAGCCTGAGTCAAAATTTAGGACAGAGTTAAGGTAACAAAGTTTGAACTGGTAAATTATAGTCAAATTCAAAAGATAATTTCCTTAAGATAATTGATAAAGTCACATAAACATACATATTAATTATGTAACTTTAAACTGTTAAAAATAAAGAAAAGAGGTCTAATTGATTAATACAGAGTAACTTACGAAATCAGGAACTTATAAAATTGGAAAAACTTCTAAAATCCGAACAATTTTCAGAGTTCCTAAATTCTATATAATTCATACCTTTGAATTTCAGGACTTCTAAATTCTGAATTACAAAACAATTTGTGTTAAAGTTTTGATAATATCAATTAAATATTTACTTCTAATATCCGGAAATTGAAAAAGGGTGTGAACATGGTGAAGGTTTATTATACTTGAGATAATAAAACCACAAAACATTTGTATCTTCCAATTAGCTGTGACCTGTATAATTCATACCTCTGAATTTTCGTACTTGTAAACTTGTGAAGTCCAAACGACTTTGCAAAATGCAGTGTCTATTCTAGGATTTGAAAAACAGGGGGGATTTTTATCGAAAATTAGTGAGAATTAATTACATTTGTTGATTTGTTTCCTTCTTTCTCTAAATAAAATTTTTCCCCAGACTGTAAAAAAATAGGGGGGAATTCTCAAAAAAACATGTGAATCCCCCCATCCCCCCTCCTAAAAAAACAGAAGTATTATATAAAACCTGGAACCTTCTAGATATTTGAACTTTTCTGCTAGCCCCAGGTTACACTGAAATATATATGGAAATCAACAAAAACAAGAAAATAAGAAGCTGATAGCCAGATACCTATACCAAACACCCTGTTATAAAGGTAGAATTAAGATGTCCACTGAAAAAGTGTGAGAGTTAAAAAAAAAGCAATTCAGATAATTTTGTAATGAAGTTTGACCTATATTATAATTATGTTGTGTATTATAATTTATAAATCCCATGTAGCTACATGTTTTTCTTCGAAAGAAAATATAGCACATATATTTTTCATCAGCTGAAGGAGAAAGACTTCATTATAACTACTGAAGGGTTTGAAGAAGTTCTGAGACAAATCAAGGCAGAAATGGGAAATGCTCCAACTAAAGAGGAATACGAGGACCTCAAAACACAGATGTCAAAACTAAAAGAGGTAAAACTTCAAGTTTCAATTGTCTGTTTCCGGTTAATATTCCAGTACATGTATTACTTACAGGCATGATTTTAAGAGAACTAATTTTTGTATGGCAGGTCATTATTGGCCCGGTTGAACATGTGCAAACCCGGGTTATAGTATGGTGAATGATGGGCGGCGGGTTGGAGGGCGGGGGGAAATTTTTCGTAACAGTTTTCTTAGCAACTACTTATTGCAGCCTCTTGATATTTAGCATACAGCATTGACACATGGTCCCATACTGTGGGATTTGATTTCAGGTCTATCGCTCATCCACTTCCTCTTTACCGACTTAGTTAAATTTTCGACATTAATTGTCAATGGTAAACATCACAGCTTCATGATATTTGGTATTTGCAACCCGGCCTTTTCTGTCTTTGACCCATTTTTATTATCTTGTCAAGGCACGCAATAAGGTTAGCAATCTTTATTAATTCATGATGCCAGTTGTCTGTTGTTACAAGGGATGAAAAAAATTTAACAAGACTTAATAGAAAATTAATTACTTATTGAATGCATTTGCATAAAAACACAGAATATAAATTGGAGTATATCCCCTACATAATAGAAAGAAAATCATTATCTGTTATAAAAGTTAAAAGCATGTAGAACAATTTGATGTACGGTATAATCATAACATTTGACAATAACAATGTCACAAACGTATTGTATTATGTGGAGCAATTTTCTCATTCTGGAAGTAGGCCCATTCATGTGTCACAGATCTTCGTTGCAAGCAGAACCACTGCGTATACCCTACAGATTTGAACCATCTGATATTCTTTTATTCAAGTAAATTTTGACTGTAAGAAAATGGTGTCTTATTTTTGAGACAGGCTTGTTTTCAAGACAACTTATTATCAGATTTTTAGGGTATATCTCTGTAAAAGCCATTATCATACTGTTTTGTAATTGTCTTAATGGGGATAAAGACTTATTGTAATTGTGGAAAATTCTTTCCTCTAAAATGTGTTAAAAACTTGCACCTGTAATGAATTATATGTCTAAGAAAATAATTTTGCTGAATGATAATGTATCATACATACGAGAAAATAATAAGATAATACAACTGAGAACAGAATTCTCATTATATGAAAATGAATATACCGCATCTCCTATTTTGAATGCTTTCGTTTAACTGTTGACAAAATTTTGCCATATTAATCATTTCGTTAAAGGCACTCACCTCCAGATTGTAAAGTGAAAAAAATTGAAATACAATTTCAAGTTAACAGTAAATACTGGTCTAGGTTTAATGAATTATTAATGAAAACACCCTAATATTTGAAACTTAAGTTTAAATCTATATACTGCCATCATATCTATTATATAATTGATCAATTATAATTTTTAGGACAAGAAATGAATACATATATCAAAGCCAAAGCACTTTATTAGTTTCCCTCTTTGTTTGATATGAACCAGAATTCCATGGTAACAGGTTGTTACATTGTCCTGTACTGTTACATGGTAAGAATTCACAGGTCAGAACAAACCTAAAAGATCTATAAAATTATGATACAAGTATCTCAATCAATAATAAACTAATGTTATCTGAACTCGGTACACCAGGAGGTGCTTCAGCCTCTGTATCATAGAGAGATACTGTCTCTGAAGCAATGTTGGTTAAGTCACCTACAGGTTTAACGGGAGGGACTTTAAAGATTTACCCTTCGTATGTCAATCCACAAAACATGATCCCATGCTAATGCAAAAAGTACTGAAAATGTTCATTTGAAACTTAAGAGATGACTAGATGTCAATCTGGAGATTTATAATGTTTTTGTCTTTCTATAATGTTGAAAAATTTGGTTGCTATGGCAAAAAATAGATGAAAAGTATGGTGAATATGGTATGAAAATATTTTCATGAAACTTGAAATATGGCAATACAGCCTTATAAATATTTATCATTGATAATAAAATTATGTACATGTATGATTGCACCAAAAAATGTCAAAATGTAAAATTCTTTGTAGAGAAATTGTCCATTGCAATAAGATTGATTTTCAATGAAGGAAATTTGATGTTCTTGAGATATATTAGGCCACTGTATGTTGAACAGACTGACTAAAACTAAGAATATTACTGTATAAAATAGAAATGATTAAAAATTACTGAATAAAACACAATTATTTGTATGATAATTTATGTTGTAGGAGATAAAAAGACTCCAAGTAGAAGATTCTCCACAACAAAAACAGCTAGAATTTGAAAAGGCTAAATCAGGTATGTTATAATTATGAAAATAAAAAGTCAGGTATGTTATATAGAATAATTATAAAAAGGCTAAATCATGTATGTTATATAGAATATGAAAATGCTAAATCAGTTTTATTATATAGAATATGTAAAGGCTAAATCAGGTATTGTATATAGAAAATGTGAAGCCTAAATCCGGTATGTTTTATAGAATAAGAAAAGGCTAAATCAGGTATGTTTTATAGAATATGATAAGACTAAATCTGGTATGTTGTATACAATATGAAAAGGCTAAATCAGGTATTTTTTTAAAGGATATGAAAAAGCTAAATCAGGTTTGTTGTATAGAATATGAAAAGGCTTAATCAGGTATTTTGTATAGAATATGAGAAGGCTAAATCAGATATGTGGTATACAATATGAAAAGGCTAAATCAAGTATGTTGTATACAATATGAAAAGGCTAAATCATTAGTATTTTGTATAGAATATGAAAAGTCTAAATCAGATATTGTGTATAAAATATGAGAAGGCTAAATCTTATATGTTGTATAACAGTGACTCTCTGTTGACTAGCTTCAGTCTGACTGATTTTTGTGCCCCCACTTTAGTGACGGGCAATTAGATTTACCCTTGTCCGTCCTTCTGTCTGTCTGTCCTTCCATCCGTCTGTCCTTCCGTCCGTCAGTTCTCTTTTGTGTCGCACGTAACTCAAAAAGTATTTGACCTAGAGTCATGAGACTTTACAGGAATATTTATCAGCATGTGTAGTTGTGCACCTGGGTATTTTTGTCTGGATTTATTTAGTATTTTTAAAGTTATTGCCCTTGAGTTAGAAATTTTTTTGCAATTTTCTGCTTGTGTCACATGTAACTCAAAAAGGATTTGACATAGAGTCATTAAACCTTACGGGAAGGTTGCTCAGCATATTTAGTTTTGCTTGTGGATTTATCCAGTATTTGTAGAGTTATTTCCCTTGACTTAGTAAAAACCGTTTTATTATGTTGTTATTTGTTCTTTGAGTGCTTGAGTTAGAATCAACCAACTTTACAGGAATAATGATCAACATCACTAAATTACAGGAATAATGATTCACATCACTGTGAAGCTATGCACCTGGGACTTTTTTCATTTTTATATGCCCGAAAGAATTTCGGACATATTATGTTATACCCCCTGGCGTCCGTCCGTCCGTCTGTCCGTCCTTCCGTTAGCAATTTGGTTTCCGGAGCATAACTTAAGTTCCATTTGGCCCACAATATTCAAACTTCATAGGACGATTGTCCATATTGGGTAGAAGACCCCTATTGATTTTGGGGTCATAAGGTCAAAGGTCAAGGTCACCATAACCTTAAAACTGAAAACAGTTTCCGGAGCATAACTTAAGTTCCATTTGGCCTACAGTGTTCAAACTTCATAGGATGATTGTTCATATTAGGTAGAAGACCCCTATTGATTTTGGGGTCACAAGGTCAAAGGACAAGGTCACTATGACCTTAAAACTGAAAACAGTTTCCGGAGCATAACTTAAGTTCCATTTGGCCCACAGTGTTCAAACTTCATAGGATGATTGTCCATATTGGGTAGAAGACCCCTATTGATTTTGGGGTCACAAGGTCAAAGGTCAAGGTCACTATGACCTTAAAACTGAAAACAGTTTCCGGAGCATAACTTAAGTTCCATTTGGCCCACAGTGATCAAACTTCATAGGATGATTGTCCATATTGGGTAGAAGACCCCTATTGATTTTGGGGTCACAAGGTCAAAGGTCAAGGTCACTATTACCTTAGAACTGAAAACAGTTTCTTGAGCATAACTTAAGTTTTTTTTGGCCCACAGTGATCAAACTTCATAGGATGATTGTCCATATTGGGTAGAAGACCCCTATTGATTTTGGGGCCACAAGGTCAAGGTCACTATGACCTTAAAACTGAAAACAGTTTTCGGAATATAACTTAAGTATCATTTGGCCTACTGTGTTTAAACTTCATAGTATGATTGTCCATATTGGGTAGAAGAACCCTAATGATTTTGGGGTCACAAGGTCAAAGGTCAAGGTCACTTTTACCTTAGAATTGAAAACAGTTTCTGGGGCATAACTTAAAGTTCCATTTGGACCACAATATTGAAACTTCAAAGGAGGATTGTTATTTGAAGGAGGTAATACTTTATTTTACTCCCATGTCTTACAAATGCCTTATCTTTACTAAAAAAAAAAATCACCATCGGGCATATAATGCTCCGCCTAGCGGTGCTCTTGTTTAATAGAGTTATTGCCCTTGACTTACAGAAGTATAAATTTTGCAATTTTCAACTTGTTCATGCATAGCCCAAAAAGTATTTCACTTGTAGGCCTGAAAGTTTACAAGAATGTTGGTCAGCATGTGTACTTATGCTCCTTGGGGTTTGCTTGTGGATTTATTCAGTATTTGTAAAGTTCTTGCCCTTTACTTAGTAAAAGATTTTTAGTTTTCAAAAAATATTTGACATAGAGTCATAAGATTGACATAACAGTGGCACGGTGGGTGCACCCGTGTCCTATGGACACATTTCTAGTTTGTCTTTATAATTCAAGGAGGCCCTCAGTGCTGTATTCCTTTTCTTTAATATATTTCTGTAATATTTACACATTGATTTGCTTTTAACAATTGGAATCCATATTATCATTTAAATTACAGAATGGCGGAAAGAGCTGATTGAACAGTATCACAAAACCCTGCTGCAGGTTCCTACAATACCTTTACAACCAAAAAGTAAAAAATGTAGCTTTAATGAGATTTATATTAGGCCCCAAATTATGAGGGAAATGAAAGAAGAAAAGGGAGAGAAAAAGGAAGTTGAGGTTAAAACAATGTCTGAAATGTTCACATATAATGGAGTTCCCCAAAAATCTGTGTATATTCTAGGAGATGCAGGGTCAGGAAAAACTAGTTTTTGTAAATACCTGGTCAACTGTTGGTGTTTGGCACATAGTGAGCAACAAGAAGTTAACAGTGAAAATGAGGACCATGGGGGTGGAAATGAAAAACATGGAGGTGACAATGAAGAACATGAAGGTTATAATGAAGAACATGTTGGTGATAATGAAGAACATGGAGGTTACAATGAAGAACATGTAGGTGATAATGAAGAACATGTTGGTGATAATGAAGAACATGTAGGTGATAATGAAGAACATGGAGGTGATAATGAAGAACATGAAGGTGATAATGAAGAACATGGAGGTGATAATGAAGAACATGGGGTAGATAATGAAGAACATGGAGGTGATAATGAAGAACATGGAGTTGATAATGAAGAACATGGGGTAGATAAGAAAGAACATGGAGGTGACAATGAAGAACATGGAGGTGATAATGAAGAACATGGAGGTGACAATGAAGAACATGTAGGTGATAATAAAGGACATGGAGGTGATAATGAAAATGAAGCTGACTATAAAAATGAGGAGCATTGGGGCAGAAATGAAAAACATGGAGGCGACAATGAAGAACATGGAGGTGAAAATAAAGAACATGACGGTGATAATGAAGAACATGGGGTAGATAATGTAAATGAAGGTGGCAATGAAAATGAAGCTGACAATAAAAATGAGCATGAGGGCGGAAATGAAAAACATGGACGTAATAATGAAGAACATGGAGATGATAATAAGAAACATGAAAATGAAAAAGAAAGTGAAGATAGCAGTGGGAAATATAGAAATGACGGTAAAAATGAAGGTGGCAATGACAAGCATGGAGGTGACAATGAAGAACATGAAAAACATGGAGGTGGCAATCAAAATGAAGGTGGTGATGAGAAACATAAAGAACATGGAAGTGACATTGTAAATGAAGAGGTAAACGAGGAACATGGAGGAGATATTGAATATGAAAAACACATGGGTGGCATTAAGAAACATGGAAGTGACCGTGATGACATTCAGGATGAAAGTAATGACGTAGCAAACTCTGAATTATACAGTGATGACTCTGATGGTGACTTGACAGACTCTGAATATCACAGTGATGACTATGAATATGACAATAAAAGTTATGAACTTAAATTCAATGGTGTAAAAGAGCTGAAAAGATTTGATTTTTTATTTTACATCCCTCTTAGACAGTATCAAACCATTAACACTATTGATGAAATGCTTCAACAACGTTATCAAATGAAAATGTTAAACACACTTCTTGAAGAAGAATCTTCTAGAGTTATCATTTTGCTTGATGGCTTAGATGAATGGTCATCTGAAAATGTCCCAAAACATAGCATCTTTAAGAAGTACACAATAGTAACTACTTCACGGCCATGGAAATTTCATACATTAAGATCAAGTGATGTGGAGATTGAACAGTCACTGAAACTGAAAGGGTTTGATTTTAAATGTGAAACGGAAATGGTACATAGGACTGTCTCACTGTTAAATGTTAGAAGACATGCTAATAAAGAAGCTAGAGATTGTAGGAAAAAGCTGAAGGAAAAGTCTCTGAAAAGTTTAAAACAGGTACCAATTATGCTGCAACAACTGATATGTCTATGGTTTGATGGTAAACTCGATAAAACCTCAAGATGTGCCATCTACACCGGTATGTTAGAATTATTCTTCACCTGGAATGACATGAAAACTACAGGAACAAGTACTGGCCTCATGAAGGGTACCCAGAAAGTAAACCTCCCTCAATATTTAGCAGATAAAACCAAATTAAGTTTAAACAGACATTTAATTCATGAAGTGTCACAGTTGGCTTTTGAGACACTATTTAATTGTCATAAGAATAAGTCCTTGTCATTTGACATTTGTATGTTTGATGAACTAGAAATATCAGATGAAGTAAGAGAAAATTGCTTGAAACTTGGAATAATTACAGAAGATGAATGTCCAAATTTATCTGTATCAGAACCATCAAGCTCATTGTTCTCTTTTATTCACAAATCAATGCAAGAATTTCTGGCTGCAGTGAATATTGGTATCAATTTCAATACAAAAATTGGTTCATCAGGTAATACAGGATATGTTGAATTAGCCAAAAAGTTTATTTATGAGGTTTTTCAGAAATGTTCAACAGTAAATGACATATTAGAGCAGTCAAATGTTGTCATTATGCTATGTGGTCTAGAACCTAGATTAGCAACACCTGTTTCAAAATACATATATGATACTGTGTCAGAAGACTCTCGTGTTCAGGAATACAGGAGAACAATAACTAGTACTTATTGTATGATTGATAGTTATATTACTGATATTCAAAAGCTTATAATTGAGTTAATAGAAGAATTAAATGCAGCATGTAGTGAAGGAAGTAATCCTGTGTTTTATATAGGAGATTTGATTATTGATAGATTAAATCTGTATTGTGATATTGATATAGTTTGTTCAAGCATTGATCAGCATCATATTGTTCCTGAATCTGTTTTGTCTATTAATGTAGATAACATCAACACAAAAAATGTTAGATTTACAAAATATTTACCAATGTTTCATCATCTTGAAAAAATTGAAATAACATTAGATAGTTTATCAAGTACACAGAGTAATGAACAGACAATTGATGAGATAAACAATTGTGTTTCTGAGACAATAAAAGTAAATACTTTAACATTAAAATCTCTGTCTCTTTATAATTCCCTCGTCACTAACATATATTACCCAGTGAATAAAACAGTTGTTAGCAACCTACCTAGTATGGTCAGTCTTGTAGCAATAAGTATAAGTTTTATAACAATGAGTCATGATGATACTACTACATTCTGTAATTTTCTTGAGGGAACCAGTCATCTTGAACAAATACATCTTCGCTATGTTGATTGTGAGTGTATGAACCAGCATGATGTTAATTTATCAAAACATCAACAACTTAATTACCTTAATTTGGAATGTGCTGTTAGAATGATAGATGTTGATGCTACAAACCTTGAAATATTTGGATTTGGGGAGTTGAAAGATAGTAATGAGAAAATATTTGATATTATTAAAAAATCTTACAAATTAAAAGAACTTCTATTGTTTGTAGATAAGTTGAGTAAATCTCAATTATATCATGCCAATATAACAGAGAGACTAGTCAGAGTATTATCATTGTTACACAATCTCAGTAAGCTTCAGTTAGAGTTGTGTAGGTTAACTGACAATATAATACAGTTACCTTTAGAGATGAAGAGTTTAAAGGTCATTAATCTTAATACTGTAATTATGAGTTTGACAACATGGCAGAAGTTTGTTGATAGTCTTCCTAGTATTCCCCATTCTGTAGATGTCAGTTTAATGTACTGTGATATAACAGGAGATGGTGAGGAGTGTATGTTTACATTGACATTCCAAGGACTTAAAGGAAGGAAGAGAAATGATGCTATACAGCATGTAAAAAATCAGAATCAGTTATTTCATGTTAAAAATGATGGTGAAGAATGCTTTCATTTTTCAACAAAAAGGTGAGATACATGTAATTTACATGTTAAGCATGATGATTACTTTTTGTTTGAATTTTCAACAAAAAAAGTGATTAAGTATACATGTAGTATACATGTAGATAACATAGTGTTTAAGAAAACTTAATTAGTCCATGTTAAAAGTGATGATAAATGTGTTTTTTTTTATTTTCTACACAAAAATGGTTTGAATTTTTAACAGTGATGTAGGATACTTGCAGTAAACATAGTATTTTAACTGAAGTATTTCATGTTAAAAGGACATGATGAATTTGTTTCTTTATTTTCATAAAAAAATTATACTAATGTCAAGTTAGATATTTACATAATGTTGTAAAGTTAAAGAATGAATATAATGCATTATGATAGAATATAAATCATGCAAAATATTAAGTTGTTTAATATTGATTTCTGGTCATTTCAACAAAATGCATTTATAATATTGAAATTGAAGAAAATAACATTCAAATTGTGTTTATGAATAAATAAATGGAAAAAAAAATGAAGTGAAATATTATAGATATATTGATCTTAGTAAGGGTAAAGGTTATTTTTTTTAAAGATCAGGTATAGTTTGTGAAAAAAAAACTGATTTGAAAACAGTAATGTTATAATTATAAATACAAAAAAGATATGTAAATAAACAAGTGTATAAATAATTAATAAGTAAATTTAATAGAAATATCATAAAACAAATGTTTAATGTACAAGGTCAGAAAAAGAAAAAGAGTAATGTAACATGCAAATACAAGTTATATGATATATAAGACAAGGGGATTGTATAAATAAATACCAGTTTTGGAATATATAGGACAGGAAAATGGTATAAAAATACAAGTTATATGAAATATAGGAAAAGGGAATGGTATAAAAAGTACCAGTTATTTGATATATTGGACTAGGGATTGGTATATAAATGAATACCGGTTATATGATATAAAGGACAAGAGAATGGTATATATAAATACCAATTATATGACAAGGGAGTGGTATATATGAGTATCAGTTATATGATATACAGGACATTTGAATGGTATATATGAATACCAGTTTTATGAAATACAAGATAGGAATAAAATAGTTTATATAAATTACAGTGATAATATATATAGGACTAGTGAATGTTATATATGAATACCAGTTATATGATATATTGGACAAGGGGATGGTATATGTAAATACTAGTTATATGGATGTAGAAGTGAACACCGTAAAAATACTAGTTATATGAATGTAGAAGTGAATGTCTGTGAAAATACCAGTTATATGAATGTAAGTGTAGTGAATCTTCTATAAAAATACCAATTATATGATATATATGACAAGGATATGGTATATATAAATATCTGTGAATATGATATATAGGACAGGGAAACTGTATATTTTATTACCAGTGATATGATATACATGTATAGGATTATATGACAAATAGGACAGTAATTGGTATATATATATTTTTTTTTCCATTGAGATGAGAAACATTTACGTGTTTTATTTAAGAGATTCCTTCATTATTTGTTTTATGTTGTAAATATGGAAAAAAAAGTTATATTTACTAAAAATCATGCAAGACGATTGATGTGTACAAGTTTATACTGTTACTTAATATTATTCAATTTAGCGAAAGGATCTCCACTGAGATCTTTTGACAAGATAGGATGGGAATTGTTTTCGAGGTTTCATACTATTTGATAGTAAATAATTACAACAAGTATGAAAACGACAGTTACCTATGTGAAAGTTTAGAATTCGAAAAAAATGTGCTTTAATCACATGTTGAAAATTGTAAAAAAGGGAGATAATAATTTAGAAACATCGTTTTCAATCAGTATATTTTATAAAGCTATCAAATAAAATGAAAATGATCTATCTATTATCTATTCAAAATATGGTATTATGCTCAAAATCAATTTATGTTATATGAAATAATGAAAAAATATATGAATACATTACGAATAATGTAGTATATAAATGTAACAATCAAAATTATGCGTGAATAAAGGGAGGTAATTAAATACTTATATCATCGACATAAATATTGTATTTGTATAGATTTAAATAAATTAATAACATTTTTAGATACAGTGAATGACTACTAAAATAGAACAGTCTTTTTATGCCGATATGTACTAAAGAAAATATTGACGAGTTTGTAAAAAGTTGCAAGTATATTTACTTGAAAAATGATTTTAAAATTTGTAAAGCACTTTTGCATTCAAACCCTTCGGATAAATTGTTTCTAACTTATGTATCCAGTATGTCTCTTTTAAAAGTCTCCCCATATGATCATGAAGTTTATCAATCGGCATAAAGGAAAAGTCATCAAGTGAGTGATCTTCGGAATTGAAATGAATTGCAACATTAGAAGAAAAATTGGGATGATAATTACTTCTTATATCAAATGTATGGCTGTTCATTCTTTTTGATACCTGTTGATGGGTTTGGCCGACATACTGTATTTTACATTTTTTACAAGTAATTAAATAAATCACGTCATTAGAAGTACAATTTCCACCAAAATGCATTTCGAATGTTTCTCCAGTATTTGTACTTGTGAATTTACTATTTTCTTCAATATTTTTACAGTGAGTACATCTTTTTCTATTACACTTATTAGTTTTACCGTTCATATTCCGTTTATTTAGAGTTGAATGGGTGAGGGAATCTTGAAGATTTTTGGGATGGCTGTATGCTAAGATTGGTTTACGATTATGTAAATTTTTAACACAGTCATTTTCTGACAACATTAAAAGATCCCAGTATTTATTTATTATAAGACCAAGATGGGAAAGAGACGAATTATATGGGATAACAAATGGTATGATTTTTTGCTGCTCTGTTATATTTTGGTTATTTTCCAGAGCTTCTTCTTGGGTTGAATATTTTACTTTTGCAAAAGCAGATTTCAGCTTGCTATCAGGATAATTTCTGATCTTGAAAAAAGATTCTAAATTGATTAGACATTCATGAAATTTATCATTGTCTGAAATGATACGTCTGTAACGTTTAGCTTGGCTGTATGGTATACCCTCTTTACATTTATTAGGGTGGCATGAGTTATACTCCAGATATTGATGGGCATCTGTAGGTTTTATATGAATTTCCGTTCATAATGTACAATTTTCATTTTTAAGAATCTTAACATCAAGAAATGACACATTTTTTTTCGATATATTATATGTAAATTTAATTGTAGGATGACATGTATTTAATTTGTTTATGAAATCATGTAAGGCACTTATAGAATGATCCCATATCATAAATATATCATCTAGAAAGCGGAGCCAAGTCGTAGGTTTAAGGTCATAACTGTTTAAAAAATCAGATTCTAATTTACCCATGAATAGCGATGCGTATGTAGGGGCCATAGAACTACCCATAGCGGTACCTAAAATTTGTAAATAATTTTCATTATTAAATTGAAAATGATTACTTTTAAGTGTCAATTTAAGAAGAGTGCATATTTCCTCCGTTGATAATACACTACCACATTTTTCATTATCAAGAAAGTATTTACAAGCAGCTATCCCATTTTCATGTGGGATATTTGTATACAGTGAAGTTACATCCAAAGTAACAAGTACTGAATCTTTTGAAAGTTTAGGTAAAGATTTTAATTTACGCAAAAAATCAGAGGTATCTTTCACATACGACGGTAATGATTTCATATATGGTTGTAATATAAAGTCAAGGTATTTTGAAATATTTTCTGTAAAAATGTGTAAACCATACTATTTGATAAAAATATATAGTTCAATAACTTGTGTGCAAATTTTCAGATCATTTCCTCACTTTTTTTTCTAAAATACTAGTTATCACTTAAGCTGGACTATTCAAAGACTAAGGAGAGCTACTTAATTATCCAAGTGTATAAATCGGCATCACACTGGTTGAATTTCTGCTTGCAAGTTAGTATCTAAAACTTCTGAACTTGAAGGAAATGGGTTGAGATGCTTGATTTCTGTGGTCATCTAACATGATAAACACAAGTTCTTTAACTCTGATTTGCCTTTTTGCATATCTATGTGCCCTTTTCACCTTGAATTTCATGGTTAAGCTTGTGCATGTAACTTGGTATCTCCATAACTACAGATGGGGATGGAATGGAAATTTAGACACATATTTGAGTGTATAATAGGTCAATGTCCAATGAACATTACTAAGACATCGATTTTATCAGAATTATTGCCCTTTTTGTGTCGCTTTAAAAAAAACACATATAGTGGTTACTTCTGTCAGCACTATAATTCAGATTGACTCCAAACTTGGTATGCCTGCTTCTTTCAATGAACTGAACTGTAGTGCATCATTACTCTGCACTTCTTATCTTTTGAGTAATTGCCCTTTGTTATTTTTCATACTTAATTTTTGTCCGAGCCATTTCTCCAACAATTAAAGGTATGGACATAAAACTTCATAGGATTATAGATCTCATTAAGAAGAAGTGCAGTGCACAAGAACCGGTCTCTGCTCTTTTTAATTTTTCAGTTATTGCCCTTTGTTAATTCTCATACATTATTTTTGTCCGAACCATTTTCTCCTAAACTATAAAACCTATCAACTTGAAACTTCAGAGGATTATAAATCTGATTGAGAAGAAGTGCAGTGCATAAGAACCGGTACTCTGTACTCAATGTTTTTTTTAAGTTATTGCCCTGTGTTAATTTTCATACTTAATAGACTTGTCGAGAGCATAACTTGGTCTTTTTAAGTTTGATTGACTCCAGATTTAGTATGCAACTCTTTTTCATTGACCTGAAGTGCAGAATCCATCACAGGGTCCTCCATTTGATCTTTTCGACAGTACTGTACATGTATTTGAAATTGCAGAAGCAAATTTTTATTTTAGGGCAAGGTCCATTTTGGGGGTCTATACAAATATTGGTGCTATTTTGAATAAAATACCCTCTTTCAACCGATAACCATGTATTATGAACTTAGTTATTATCATAACAAAGTTTAAATATTCATTAAAGAAGTTTAGATTTACATTAGAACTGATTACAATATTTGAGTAAAAACGATCATGTACATGTGTTATTTATTGGTTAATTAAACTTGTTGTCACAATTTTGTACCATGTGAACATAATGTTGCACATATTTGTAACATGAAATGTTTATTGAATGTATCCAGTACATATGTACACACATGTTATTAAATGTTTATTGTATACTAAGAATATATACATGCGTGTGTAATTCTTCAATTGGTTACACAAGTTTGATTTAAAGGCCCATTAAGCCTTAAAAATGCTATTACTTTTATTTTTCAAAAATGTGCCTCATTGACCATCTTTTTTGCATTTTAGCAATTAGTACAGTAATGATGAATAAGTATTTTATATGGAAGTCAAATTACAATTTGTTTACATTTGCTACCCTAATCATATTTTTTTTCAAACTCAATATTTTGTCAGTTGTCAGGAGATAATAATATCACATGTTCTAAATCTATTATAACAACATTATAAAACACACATTTGCCCTTTTTTACAAACAAATCTATTCATTTCTGAGGTGTAATGTGCCTTTAAACTTTTTATATATATGCAGGGTAAATTTATCTAGTATATAAGTTAACATATAACTATAATGAAGATGTAATTAATTATTTACTAGGTATATGAATGTTTATGTTTATTTCATGTTTAGATATGTTATGTTTTATGAACACGTGCATCAGACATGTTTTTTGTGACTTGGAATTTAAATATATATTTTTTGTACATTTTAATACAATCCATGTAATTATATGTGCATGATAACAAATATATATTGCTTAAACATTATAGTTTAGATAATTTAATGTTTGCATATTATGTTATGTCAATTGATTATATAGAGGATATTTGTTTTGCATGTAAGATTGAAATATAATTTCACTGAGTGAACACCAGATGCAATATTTTCACGAGTGGCGTAGCCACGAGTGAAAATATAATAGCTGGTGTTCACGAATGAAATATATTTCAATCTTATATGTAAAACAAATAAAAAAAATTTTTATTTCATGCTTTTTAGTGATTTTAAGTACTTTTTTACTGATTTTGCCGCGTAACGTCGCAAATTCTCCCTTGTGACGTCATCACATCATGACGTCACATTATCAATTTTGAAATATAGTTCTGTTACATTTCTCTAATTTTGTTACATTTTTAACATTATGTATGATGCCATCGACTTTCTTTTCCTAAAGAAGCAAAATTTACGCATGACGGCATTTATTTCTGCCTGTTATTCCATTTAGTTATGATTTTCTTTTCATCCGCACTCAGATATAGTCCGGCTACAGTGAAATTATATTTTATAAATTTCACTAGTGGTTTATCAGAATATAATCATCTGATATATTACAATAAAACACTGGAAGGCATGAAATAAAAATCTTAAAATTGGAAATGTTCATTGCAAACAGTATTCAGTAGATCTATAATGTTATTATGTTAGCATATATTTCGTCAAAGAATAGTCGAGCGTTGCTGTCCTACCGACGGCTCTTGTTGTTATATGACATGTTCAACTAGTATATAAGTAGACAAATATATTTATGAAGATGTAATTAATTTTATACTAGGTATATGAATGTTTATGTTTATTTCATGTTCAGATATGTTATGTAGAGCTACATGTATATCTAATTTAAAAAAAATGTTTAATTGGTTTTGATAGCATGAATGTATGACTTCTCATATTAAAGAATTGTACAGAATTGATTTGTATATTATTTATTTCCCCTCTCTTACAAAACTAGTTTCAAGTAGGGTATAAAATTTTGAAATTTTACTTCCCACTATTTTCATATAAAACAAACACTACGCTATCAGTACATAAATAATGCTATGTACAATATATATGCACCGTACATTGACTCGTAAAATAATTAATAAAATAAGATAAAACACAATTGTTCGCAACGGAACTGTAACAGGAACAATTTCCATATTAAACATAGTCAAGGTTTCAAGGTATAGCCCTGGCCTTCACGTTGTACCCATCGCATATGAATATAAATTAAACCGGTGGTTAGAACTTGTTACTCCACGTTACATATTCAGAGTTTTCTAAATAGTGTGTGTAATGTTAATACTATAATGATCTGGCTGCATTTATTAGTAAGTCACACGTACAGTCCCATTAAGTTTTCCTGGTCTTTCTATTCATAATTCGAATCCTTTAATTTAGTTCTAAAACGTGAATGATTGTAAATCAAAAGTAATCTTCATTATAGTTCAACACGTGTCGATTGAATAAAATGCCCAGAAATTCACCTAGCACTCCATTGTAGTGCTACCCTTCCAGGGTTCCCGCTGTCGCTCGCCAAATGCGACAAAATATTAATATGGCATAATCCAGTCATCGTCTCCTAGGAGACAATAAGTTTTTATGCCACCGCAGCATCTGCGAGGCGGTGGCATATATCGATTCACCTGTGTGTTAGTGTGTGAAAAGTTCATTTTGTTAGATTTAGAAAGTGTATGTAGAATGATGAAATCAATGCTTTATACAAAAAGCAAACTGACATGTAACTTTTAGTATTTACATTTTTCTGGGCCTTCGAGATTATTAATTCTAACACTGCCAGTGTTGAAAATTGAATACCGCGCAAGCCGGTGATAGGGGCGTGAGGGATATTGCATAATTTCCGTATCCGTCATGTACAGACTCAATCAAACCGAGTCTGCAATTTTCATGTAGTTTTGTTATTATTGTTATTATTTAAATGGAATTGAAATATTTTAGACAAAATCCATTTAAGGAATCACAACAACTCTTGAAAAATATATGTTCTTTTAGAAATGATTGGTGAGAGAGCTTTAAGCAGATTACGAAAGCAAGTTATCGCACAATGCAATTGATTATGTAATTAACGGTCTTTAATTCATGGATAATTGCTAACATTATTGTGCATATATCTATACTAATAAATGTTATCACTGTAATCCGATAATATACTTCAATAAAAAGTGAAATTAAGGACATGACAACAATTCCACAATGGCCGTATGGAAACGATTTATGAGAGAGCTTTAACCAGATTATATGAGCAAGTTATCATACATTTTGATTGAACGTGTAATTAATGGTCTCTGAGGCAACAATAACATAATAAAAAGCTATTGCTAAGTTTGTACACTTACAAATCACAGTATGAATGTACCGAGGAAAATTTAACGTATTATTGACGTAATAAGAATAAAAAGATATGCTTTGAATATGAATTGAATCATCATCATGTCAGTAAAATAGAGAAAATAAGAATCTTTTAAAGGCACATTGTGCCTAAGAAACCAATAAATGTTTACTTCTTTAGAAAGGGCAAATATGAGTTTTATTATATTTAAATATCGGTATAAAAGCATGCTTGATGTTTGCTACCTGAAAAAAAAGAAGTGATACATGTGAAATTATTTGTCATAAAAGTAGCTAATAAACAACAACAAACACAGTATTATTTCCATACAAAATGCAAACTAGTTATTACTGTACTATTTGCCAAAAGCAACATAATAAAAAATGGTTCAGGTAATTGGCCAATGAGTTAATATTTGTAATGTTTAATTGTACACCAAATATAAAAGACTTTTGAGAAATAAAAAATAAGAATTTCTAACACAAAATGGACCTTTAAAATAGTAAAAAAAACAGCAAAATAACTTCGTTTTGATTACTTGTATCCAGATAAGTGACTGTCAAATCGATATGTCTTCTTTTAGAAAATCTCATATGATTGTTTCAGTTATTTACTCATGATATGAATAATGATAACTGATTATCTGAAAGTTTGATTGTAAGTTAGTGAATACATATTAACTTTGTGTGCGTTGTTATTTAATTTTTCAGATGTGCAATAATATAATCATAAGGACCTATGGCCCCGTGTTATATTTCAGGAACGTTTTGACCATAGTTCATTTTAACATTTGCCTGACCAAAGAAGTTAAATATAAATTTAGCGGCACAGCATAAAACAAAAAATGCCATATACTTGACTTTCTTAGGTTTAATTGTCTAAAATATAACCTTAGATGGTATGCCAAAATATTGTTTATATACAAATCGCGAGAGGTAAGTCATTGTTTAGTAATAAAATAATTTGAATCTTGTAAGAGTATTTTTTTAAATCTTTTAAAGACAATTTTAATAAGGGATGAGAAAATGTTAGAAGGGTAACAACTTTGTTATATTTCTTTCATAATCCTACTACTGCCGCAGACACTTTATTTACTTTGATAAGAGAAAACACTGATTAGTTGACAGATGAATATCCTACATTTTCCAACGGTATATTAATACCTTTTTGCACATTTTGCCTTCTCTCCTCTCTAAAATATCAAATATGTAATATACCAGAATATCAAACAATCTAATTATCACGTAGCTGTAAATAGACTAGCTCGTAATAAACACAGTATTAGAGTCGCCTATAAATACTAGTGATTACTTGCATTTAAAGAAAACCAGCCGTGACAACCGATCTTCTATTGTATTATTTTTATGAATAACAGAAACATACAGAATAACTAGAAACTCTGAAGTAAAACAAATCCTCCAGAGTCACAGTGATCGATCAAAATTCAATTGAATGAAATCCCACATATCTAAATTTATTTTAGATATCTAACTTCTATTGATCAGATATCTTCAATTTTATGTAACGAAACAATAACATACCTAACATTTAAATGGTGAAGTGGCGAAGAAAATCAATTTGGTTGCAACAGTTATTAAAGAATATTATGGATTTTGTTTTTTGTTGTTGTTTTTCTTTTTCTTTCTTTTTTATATATTATTCCCAAAACTAATTTTATGTTTTTACGTAATTACAACGAGAAAGCAATTTGTGTTATCGAAGAAAATGCAAAAAGATATGAGTGCATTTCCATTTTATCCATGGCTGAATCGAATGTTTGTGTGCAGTTGGTCCTATGTGAGTAAGACAATCACGCTTTCTTAAAAACTGAACTCAGCTCGGTTTGACCTAAAAAGCAGATCTGCAAAAGATTGAATAATATCTTTCATTGTATTTTTGTCAAAATATATCCTTGTATAAAATGATAAATTATATCTTTTTTACGGTCATCGCTTATTCTTCGTTAAATATAGCAAAAGACACAATTAGCTTCACATTATTATTACACATTTTGCATTGTATCTGTTATATCACTTTTTAATTGTATTATAGATACTGCAGTGTATCAAGTAATTACTTACAAAATAGGGCTATTTAATTGTTCTATCAAATTAGACAACCTTTTTACATTAGCTCTGCGTCTCGAGACTAGCTTTATCCCTATGTAATATCGCTTCAATTAGGTAAAACAATGTAAGTATATTTGTCCCAAGGATACAATCGTGTTTTAATGCTGCATATGGCACGGTGTTTTGTACTTACACTATATCTGATTACCAAGAAAGATAAACGAAAAACATATTCGTCAAACAGACATTGCTCTCAAATGACTAGATGTTTCAGATAGAAAAAAGATTGAACCATAC